TAATGCTTATTAATCAAAAATAAAATGATGGACAATGCAAATCCTGAAAAGATGGTATGGAGCAGATCTACCCCAACAACCTATTAGGCTCACTCCAAGGCTGTTCAAACGAACAGAATTAAACTTTCATCTTCTTTACAGTACAAAAAAAATACCTACATAAGATAACTGAATTCTTTAAAATGTTGGATTATTAATAATGAATAATTATTAGGCCCAGAAATATTATCTTTAAAGCTTTCTTCATAGAACAGAATACTCAATAAAAATATTCAAGTGCAAAAGGCTATTTCTCATACATCCATTTTACAGTAATGTAACTAAGACTCAGGAAGTTCCATTAATTTGCCTTGGCATGAAGCTACTTAATAGAAGAGCAAGTTTTCCCTGTTCTTAGTATTTCACTTCTTTAATCATTTATATACAACTCTTGGGTACCTATCATATCCATACTGCCATCTAACTACTGTAAAGGATATAAACCCAAGTAAATTATAGATCCTATTCTCACATATATTATGATTAGATACTTCATACAGAGCAATAAGTATTAAGCACTATTTATCAAATACTCATTACATGGGAGAAACTGGATCAATATCAGAGTCACAGACATTATCCTCTTGATACAAGCATAATTTTCCTCATTTTACCAGAGAAGAAACAATGGTACAAAATAGTCATAAAATAATCTCAAATGACATAATTTATCAGAAGCAGAAAGCAGATATGAACCCAAATCTGTCTGACTCTGAGGCCTTAGCTCTTAAGTACATCATAGGCTTGGCTGCAATTTGGCTATTATACTTATCCACAGAGGCAATGGTAGGTACTTCAGCTAAATGCAAAAGGAATTTCTAAAAACAACATGTATTAACTCTGAAGTAATTTATCCATAAAAAGTCCACATTTCATCCTCCTAGTTGGCTTAAAAATGAGAAGGTATTAAATTAGAAGTTTAATTTAAGAATGAACATAATGCTTAATAAGAAATGAAACCAATTTATATCTCAAGTTTTCTTCCACTTTATCGCTGTAAGGGACAGCAATAACAACCAAAAACAAGACCTACAGCAATGGTGTCTTTCTCCCATGTTTTCTTTTGCATTCAGAGGAGATTAAAATTGATAAATATAATGTAAATAAAATACTTTATAAGTTCCTTCCTTGGGAAAACATGCATGGACCATGAAGCTTTAAAGTAGTTGCAGCCTTTCCACCTGGTACTGAAGTTTGGGCAAAAGTATGTGTTTGTGTGCAGTGACTCAGCTTATGTAGGTGGGAAGCAACCACTACAGATGGCTGAAAAAATATGCTAATGTTGGAAGACATGTGGTGCTTGACATCCTGAAAGAGAAACAGATGTTTCCACAAAAGGATTTTAGAACAAGTTATTTGCTGACCTCTTCAGGCTTGGTTCTTAAGCTGCATCTTGGGGTTTTGTAGATGAAAAACAGAGATAACCATACTCCTCACTGGTAACTGAAGAAAAAGAGCACCAGCAAAGAAGCAGTTAATTAGAAGGACTTTGCTAATAATTTCTTTCATTTGAAATACTGTTTTAGTTTTCAAGATGTTTTTCTGTTCTATCACACTTGCTTTTATTCACATGCTATGGCCCCTACAGAGCTGGCATTGTACTGCTCCTTCTTTTTATAAAAACTGTCCCTGTTGTATTCACTTATTAAATATTTCTTTTTTGTTAAACTATAGGTAAATTCCATGGCCAGGAATGTGTCTAACTTATTGGCATCAAAATCCCTAGGGCCAAGACAATGCCAGATGCATAGTTAACTCTCAGAACACATTTTTCTCATCACTCTTGATAATTGCTAATAGATATTCTAAGATATTCTTGAGAGGTAGAACCTAGATTTACTTTTTCACTAGGTAGTTGAATCTATATCTATCTATCTAGAGAGAGAGGGAGAGAGTGAGAGAGGAGAAATAGTGGTCTAAGCGATTAGGATGCTACAATAAAAGAGCAGACAAAAATCCCTATCTTCATGAATCCTGTACATTAGCATATTAAATTTGGAAAGCAAATTGAAAAAAATCATTTTGATTGCAGATTACATAACATTGCTAAGGATCTCACAAATTTTATATCTTAAACAGATAGAGATGATCTTAAAAAGTCAGAAAAATTTTAACTTGAGAATATAATTTAAAGGTGTAGAGATCTATTATAACAGATATCATAGCTAGCTGTGAACTACTCCATGCTCAACTTTTCCTTTGTGAAATTCCCCATTAACTTCAGCATGAATATTTGTGTCCTATCCTGTCGCGAGCCGGCGACGCAGAGCACTGTCCAGCAGTGCCTCAAACCTGAAAGAGCAGCGGGGTGGAGATGGGGCAGAGACAAAGGAAGGACACCAAGACAAGAGTCTGATCAAGGCGACATTTATTGCAAACAAGCATCAGCCTTTTAAAGGCACATCAACAGGAAACACCTGACTCCTACAGCTAACGTCAGATCTTTAACAGGAAGTACCTGACTCCTATAGATCTTTGGCTATCTGAGTTTCTCTCGTGCAGGGTCAGAAACAAGTTTAACACGTGCAGTCCTTAAAGAGGAACAAATGTTATCTTTCAAAAAGCCAATGGGCCATGGCTGGCTTCCCACACTATCCCTTCTTGTCCCCAACAGGATTCTAAGTAATGAGTAGTAGATGCTAATAGGAATAGAAACATCTGGAATGTACTTGTGTTCATCTAGAGGAAGGAAGTAAAACTAACATAAAGTAAACTGTTTGCATGTACTAAGTAATGATTATCTCATGGAATCTTTATTGTAAATAAATACCTAGCTAAATTGTATTCCCCCTTCCCTTTCTTTGTTTTACCAAGTGAGGAAAAAGGCAAAGAGGTAAAGATGTCCTTTTATGTACCAATAGAGAGATTATAGCTTTTGTGATGGTCAGAACTTTTAAGTCAGCAATTAACTTTCAACAAATATGCAGACTAACTTAGCAAGTGAATAAATGAATAATCTCACTAGATACTAAGAACATTTATCATCCATAACCCTGTACCAAAAAGTGTGAGATAGACCAGAGAATTGTTATTTACCTTCTATTCAGCTGGGGAAGATTTTGTAGAAAACATTGGAATTGGCTACAGTTGATGCTATTTAAAGAAATTCTGATGTTTAAAATTCTTCACTGCCTCTTTTAATGGATTTTTTTTTTATTCTGTCCTGAAGGTCACAAACTTCTCCAGCTGAAAATACAGCTGTCTCATAGAAACTATGCATAAGAAAATAACAATAAACCCCAGAAGAGTCAGGAAAGTGGTGATAAGGCTGCTTGATGCTTGCTCTTTATCCAACTGGCCACTTCCTTTGACCTCACTTGCTGAGTGCTGAGAGGCCAGGGAGCTCACTGGAGAAGAGGAGGGAGAGGGGGAGGGGAGGGAGAGGGAAAGGGAGGAGGGAGAGAGGTTGGAGGGTGGAGAGAAAAGGGAACAAAGGGAATTTTCAAAAGAAAGAGGGGGCTGACCCAAGCAAAATTTACAGGTAGTAGAGGGCTTCACCATAATCCTCTTAACATCGCCTTCTACTCTCTGCCACATTTTCTTCACCTTTAGTTCCTACCCCTTCCCAGCTGTTCTGCTTCTCGCCATCTGAAAGGACAACTGCTCCAAATCATGAGTTATTTGAATGTATACAGTGGAAACTCATTTTACACAAATGTAACTTATATTCTGACTTTAGGACCTTGCCTTGTCACTATTTTTTAATCCTAAACCATAAATGTATTAGTATGTATTAATAATATAGTGGCTTTATAATAAATTATTATTAGAACATAGACAAGCTTTAAAATTTACACCGATTTCCCATTTATCTTTAAAGATTTAACAGTTACTTCAAAGGTAGAATGTTTTGAAGGGTCAAATATCAGCCTTTATTCATTCTTTGTATTTCATCTTTGGATTAAAAATAAAAATCAAGTTTCAATATTCTTACTCATTACTAAACAGCAGCACACTTCAAAACCATGTGCAGTATTATTCATAGGTAATTTAAGGGCATAACCAAAACTGTCATCTAGTTTTTACTTTTGGACACTCCCAACTACAAAAGTCATTTTCATTATATGTCTGTTTCTATGGGGAGGTTTAAACTATTTTCTAAGGAGTTCATAACTACCAAAGGTAAGAACCACCATTCTCCCCACATTAAATCTCATCTGTCTTGCATATTATTCCCTCAGGAATGCTGTATCCCCCTGATAAATTACTGCAGCTTAACTGATAAATTAATCTGAGCTAAACTTTTCATGTATACTGCATCTAAACAGTGCCAATATTTTATATAAGATTTTAAGTTCAAGTAACTTGGGGAAAGCACTTTGACAGAATAAGGAAGAGAAATGTTTGGGTCAGGAAGCAAAAAAAAGTTTTTAGATTATCCTAAACTGCCTTACAGGTAAATGCTTGATTCTCCTCCATTTCTAGTACTCTGTCAACCCTACCTCCAGCTCTTCCTCTTCTATTTATGAGTGGCGGTAAGAGTGGGATATGTGCCTCACTATGAAGGGCCTATATAGGAAATAAGTAGACAGGAAAGTTGAAAATGATGGATTTGAGAACCCCAAGCAGAGAGAAGTCTTTAGAGGAGCCCTGTTTGAGACCACCACCACTCCCTATCCCCATTTGTTGAAAGGGAATAGAATAAAATGGATAACCCAGAAGCCAAGTCTATAAAATATATCTCGTGTCCATGGACAAGTACATTGAAATTACAGATCCTGAAGTGATTCAGCAGGGTTAGCATATTTTGCCTTTAGAAAGTGTTGCCTTTGCAGCTGGGCATGGTGGTGCATGCCTTAATCCCGACAATTTTGTTAGGCTGAGGCAGGAGGTTGTGAGTTTGAGACCAGCCTGGGCTACATAGTGAGTTCCATGTTAGTCTCAACAACGTAGTGAGACCCTGTCTCAAACAACAAACAAACAAACAAACCAAACAAGTGTTACCCTTAAGAGAAGTCTGAGTGCTCACTTCAGCAGTACATGTACTAAAATTGGAATAATGCAGAAATTAGCATGGCCCCTGGCAAGGATGACATGCAAATCTGTGAAGTGTTCCATATTTTGGGGGCTGGGGATTTAGCTCAGTGGTGCCACCACCTGCCTTGCAAGTGCGAGGTTCCTAGTTCAATCCACAGTACCAAAAGAGGAGAGAAGTCTGAGCTAGGCATGGTGATGCACACCTCGAATGCCAGCATTCTGGGAGGCTGAGGCAGGAGGCCTGCAACCTTGAGTAGTGCCTGAGAAACTTAAAAAATTTTTGTTTCAAGGGAGAGAGGGAAATAGGGTTAGGCTGGGACTCAGGACCACTGTTTTGCCAGGAAGAAATGATTCTGGGATCACCCATTCCAACTACCACAGTGGGAAATCACAAATATCTGAAGAAAAATTCTGTGTTTTTGTGGAACACTTTCAGGTAGTGCCTTCTTGGGCAAATAGTTCTCTTACTTCTACAAAATAAAAATGCAAGCCTATCACTGCAGCGTAGATGAGAACATGCTACACAAAGGTACAAAAAGCTGAATTTGGTATTTTGCAGATCTTCAAATATAGCTGAAAGAATTACATGAAAAAGATGGCTAGAGACTATATGCAATCAAAACATTGCATTTGAACTTGGGACAACTGTGAAAAGAAGTATGGAAAATTTCATGTAATAGATGTTAAACTGATAAAGAAAATTATCTGTGCAGAGAGTCTGGAACACAATTAATACAAGGTATAGCAGAATATGCAAATCAAGCACTGGAAAAAGAACCAAAACAGAAACATTTTAGTGACATGTGGCAGAAAATTTAACAGTTCCTTAGAATAAAGGAATCAGAACTGCTCCTAAAGTAAGAGACTCTTTAATTAGCTATAGATGGTGCTGCTGCTGCTGCTCCTGTTGACTGTATAATAATGTTTATAGGATTGTAATTTCATAATTGTAGACTTACTAACCATGCACATTCATTCATTCTTTTATTTTCTTAATGAAATCCAACTTAATTCTCTGAAATGATGGGGCTGGTAAACCATATGGATCCATGGTTTCCATATGGTCAGGTGGGGAGTAGAGTCAGTAGGATTGAACATATAAAGTGTATGAGATTTTTACAGTGGTGAAACTACTTGTTATGATACTGTAACAGTGTGTACATGACAGTGTATAATTTTCAAGCCTATAGAATGTTACAACACAAGGTGTGACTATAATGTATACAAATATTTAAAATCATTAAGGAGGTCACGAGATGTCAAGATTGTATGCAGATGTACCAAAGGAATCTAAAAATATATTGATTAAAAAAAGCTGTATCATCAAATGGGGGATTAGCCTGTTGGTCTAAATAACACTGGAAATGAGTAGAGGTTGTAAGTCCAAAGACATACATACTGTAATTGATGAAGTAGTTTCCCACAAGGGAAAAAGTTAACACTTCTGAAATTACTATACAAGGACAATGGAATTGAACAATTAAGTAATAGATGGTGAATGGTGAGTACCAAGTTTCTCAACATTTGATTGGTATGTTCAGACAAGCAATGAAAGGAACCTAGAACGATTCACATATGATAATTTAAACTCATGTTTAGATTACCATACATATATATGAAGAAATATATAGATCTCAAATAAAGATATATTCATATGTCTTCTCATTCTCTCAGTGTGAGAAGAGCCTAGAAACAATTACAGCCCAGTAGCAATGAGCACAACCAGGACCCGGGTCTTGATTTCTGTTGCCACGCTCCAATAAAGGCATTAGGACTCCTTGGAGAAATGGATGATTCTAGGACTTGGGCAGAAAGTATAAAAGATGAGTGTGGAATATCTTATAACTCCAAAAGATAAGAAAGTGTGTCGGGAGCAATTCTATGTGATTTTGGGGAAAAATCATTTCAAAATTAAATCATGATTGGGCCTACTTTTCCTGTCTCTAGGCCAGCAATGGCGTGTCAAGATATAACTCTGTTTTCACCTCTGGTCACAGCTAAGACCTCAATGGTCTAGTGACGCCGTGATGCTCCAGGGCAGGACTTCACCAGCTGGAGACCTCCTGGGAGGAACCAAATCATCATCTGCACAGTTCCTCATTGTTCTAGGATCGTTGCTGCTGTCCTCTGTGTCATTTGCTACTTTTGTTTTTGCTGATGTTCTGAATAAAGGTGTGGCAAGCTAAGGTCTGGGGTCTTTCCTTCCCAGGGCGGCACTGATCAGGACAAAGCTCAGCTTCTTCTCTAAGTCTCATTTTCTATATATTTTTTTCTTTTTTTTGTATCGGGGATTGAACTAAGGTCCTTGTGCTTGCGAGGCAGTCAGCGGAATCACTGAGCTAAATCTCTGGCCCTTTCTGTCTACATATTAATTAATTCATCTTGTGCTTCATGGCTTGCAGGAGACTAGGACCTGATGCAGAGGTTCTAGTAACATCCCCTTTCCCTGTTCCCTGCAAAAGTGCTCAACACAAATCAAAACCCCACACTGACAAGACTGTCAAAAGGGTACAGAGCTACTGAAAGGGCTCCCATGGGCCAAAGCTGGAATTATTTGAGTAAGAAAATACAGCAGCATTTTAACCCAAAGTATAAAATAAATACTCATGTGCACATGAATACAAATAACTGAATAAATAAATTGGCAAGAATAAAACTCCTAATTAGAGGGGGCCGGGGATTTAGCTTAGTGGTTCTCCTCACTGCCTGCCTGCCTCACAAACTCAAGGTCCCAAGTTTCATCCCCAGTACCAAAAAAAAGAAATTTAAAAAACTCCAATTAGAAAGATTCAAAACAATCTTTGTAGGTACACCACTCTAAAGGAGGAGGAGCCTAATGCACCACTATTTATACATAGCTACACACAGTACTTTCTGCTCCATCATTTCAAAACTATGTTAATATATATACTAATTTGTTTCACTTATACTACTAGTTTTTCTTAGCTTTGTAAAGAAAATTTTGTGCTATTGCATGTTTGTTTAGTGTTTGTAAGAACTTTTTTGTCTTTGACTTGTACCCTGAGTAATGTTTCACCCATTCTTTTAAGATTATTATACACAATGCATTAACTATTGTTATTCTCTAATTATCATGTTATGAAATTTATTTTTCATAAAAGGATACTTTATTAATATCTATATGTATTACATTAAAATAAAAAATACTACAGGATTGAAAAGAAAAAATATTAAAAACACTTTCTCAACCCAGTTGTCATAGTTAACACTGATATCAATAATCCATAATGTTAAGTGAAATAAAATAGACACTAAGCTATCATATGGTTTCTCTTATATGAGAAACACAAAATATAAATAAAAAGCAAAATGAAAGACAGAAAATCAGAAATAGGGAGATAGTTCTTGTCAAATGGGAAGGAGACTAAGAGATGAAGGGAGGGAAGAAGAACAGAAAGGAAAGGGGATGAAAAAAGAAAAAAATGTTTTGTACATGTACTAACTCCACAAAGGAAATGCAATTATTATGTACTGCAAACACATACTAATAAAAATGTAAAAGTCATACTGATAGTGTATACCCTTGATATTATGTAATGCAAAAGGCATTTTAACCCGAGTTTATCTTCTCCAAAACACGTTATAACTATAATACAATATAAGAAAGAAAACTTAGGCAAACTCCAATTTTGCAAAATATCCACCTAAGTTCGTTTTTACTGATGTACAGAATACTTGAGACTGGGTAAACATAAGAAACAGAAATAGTCTTGTGATTCAGGAGGTTAGAAAGTATAGCAAGAGTAGGAAAAATGGAGCCAAACTTGACCTTTTATAAATGGCATCAGTCCCACCCTTGTGTGGAGCCTTCATGGCCTACTCACCTGTTAGTGTCTCACCTTTTAATTCAGCTACAGTAGCACTTAAATTTAAACATTATTTTGAAGGGACAATCAAACCATAGCAATATCTTACATGAAGTCTTTAAAATTTCTAGGATTCTTGAAACAGGGAAGGTCTATGTAATTCCCATAGCCCAGAAGAGACATTACTCCTAAGTATAATGTGGTATCCTGCGTAGGAAAGTAGAATATTAAAAGGATATTCAGTTTAAAAGTAATGAATAATAGATTATACATGATATTTGTTTGATAATAATATTGGTTGAATAATTGTGATAAATGTCCAATATTAATTAAAATAATAAGGGGAACTCAGTGTGAGGTATATAGCTTCAAAATCATTCTGTAAATTAAAAACTGGTTTGCTTTTTTTTGTTGTTGTTTTTTGTTTTTTGTTTTGTTTTTGTTTTGGTACCGGAGATTGAACTCGGGTCCTTGAGTTTGCGAGGCAGGCCACCGAACCACTGAGCTAAATCCCCGGCCCAAAAGCTGTTTTAAAATAAAAAGTATTTTTAATATTTTTCATTCTACTTTGCACAAATGTAGGTATGCTTTGCATTTGCTGGGAAGCACTTCAAATAAAGTACCAAGTAAAACAAATGTGGCTCATGCCCTCTGGGAGATTATGGTCTAATTTGAAACAGTGACATTCTTCACATGAACAGAATAGGGAGCAGACCTCCTGTTGAGAACTTTATAAAGAAGTCTAATGGCTGCAGAAGCTAAAGCAATATCCTGAGACTGGTCACAAAGGAGAACCATCATATCCTTTCTGGCCTCACAAGCACAGATTTCCTCTTAACCCAGATGGCAACAATTTGTACTGATGATAAAGGGGACCTTTGGAAGATGTTGCTGGGTAAGACATGACTGTATCCATTAAAATCAAAAGAACCAGGATTAAGTTTAATATTCTGTCTCCTATTAATTATATCTATTCTTTGAGCTACATGTCTTTCACCAATAAAATTCAGGTAATAATACCTGCCTTACAGAGCTGGTATGAAGATTAAATGTAATTGCATGAACTGCCAAGTAAAATTAATGTCCACTCAGAGTGGCTTAGCTGGAACCTTACACAAATCTGTTCACTTATCCTAGGCCATGTCCTATTGCAATAGGCCATACATCCTTTTCTTGGGGAGACCACAGAACACAAGCTTGCCAAGGATAATTTCGTGCCCCCTCCACATTCTCTCCCCTTATGAGGTCTTGTCTCTCCAC